AAAATTACGACTATTCGAAATCTATTTTACAAGTTTACCCTCGGAAAGTTCAACAACATTGGGTGATGCACGATTCACATCTAGTAACTCTAATTTATTATCATATCGAATTTAATATTATTTTCGATTATCTAGTACGCATAGTTGACGTTGATGCAAAATGTGGAATCAACTCATATTTATACTTTAGACAAATTTTATGTTAAATTTAAGAGGCATCCGGTATAACTGTAGCAATTTTGTAAATTGCAGAAAAATGTCTTGACACGGTAAGAGTACAATTATAGAACAAAATAAAAAAACAACGTCACGGGGGTCTTAGATCCTTTTGGAAATAATTCCTGAAGTATGAGTAATATTTCACACAATGGAAATATTGTTACCAAAAATAGAAATGTTTTGATCGCTGTTATATCGTTTATTTACTTGGATTTCAATAGTCACTGGCTGTCGCCGTGCTTAGTCATACCAGTGTGGTGTTCGCCATACTTGGGGGCGCTTCGTGGAATTACAACAAAGGCACTGTGAGTAAAAGTCATGCAGTTTACGTGTTATGACTACAAAAACACAAGAAATCTACGTTTTGTAAATACATTCATGTTTACTAGCATTTAATTTCACTTTTGATACATGTCCATCCTTTTCACTGGTCAGCGACCCGGTAGGCAATTGCCAGGGGACTTTGCAATATCCCCAGACACTTTCCTAAATGATCTATGCACTGACCGTTGTAGACGCAATGAAGTTACATACCCGTCCCTACGTGACCAGGGTTTCAGATGGGCCCAACTATTACAACTTCTCAGTGTGCAGTCAAACATTTATCAAACAATCATGTTTTATTCATTGTTGATATCGAACCCTATATTATTTCATGCATACATAAGCTCGTTCATTTAATAAATTCCATTTTGAACGTTTTGCAAAAATAATAAACCTCGTTGATACAAATATTTAAAAACGCCCCTAACGTATAATGAAACTACCTAATTACCCTCGTGAGAACAGTTTAGTTTTGAATTTAGTTTACTAGACTCAGTCATGTCTGACGGGAATGCCCCGGGCTGTACACAATCGGATCTGATTCAATGTACCTGGAATGCCGGTAGTAGGCAGTAGTGCCAGTAAAGATGACGTAGCTATAGGAAGTGTCAATCTAAAAAATGCTTGCCTGGGAGGTCTACTTTCCAAGGTTGGTGCTGTTCAAGTTCAAGATTTGGGGGGGGGGGGGGCGTAGAGCAAAATAATATTGCATATAAGTCAAATTAACGTCTTCACTATGTCAAGCGCCGTAGTGAAAGTAATAAGGTTTAATACGAAATCTGCAATTGGCGCCCTGTAAGACTTTTGTTCAAAACGTTTTTCTCAAGTTTTTAATTATTAACACTTAAGTTGCAACTTCTGGGCATGAACAGTTAAACAACTGTGCCTTGTTCTATAATGTCATGTTCTCCTTTTTGGTTTGATTTTGTCTTTGTAGTGTTCTACTGTCGAAAATAGTGTCATACAGAGGCCAAAAGATAATATACCACGTAATAGACCACTTTCCCGGAAGTAGCGAGACTGGGGAGCAAAAATACTAGTACTCATGGCGGGAAATATAAACATGTCAGTTTGCTGATAGTTGATAGAAAGGGATTTCAATATGTAATTTCATGTTTTTGTTCATAGACGGCATAGTATACTTTCTATGGTTTGTTAAAATGTACCGTGTTTCAGTTATTTTTCAACATCAAACAACGGGTAACATGTCAGAACAAACAAAGATAGCGTTGTCAAGACAACAGATAAACGAAGATGAGAAGTAAAATGGCTACCATGGCAGCATATCGCTGTTTTATAGAGTATTTAACCATAGACCTTTCTAAGGTCAATTATTTAACCTTTAACTATCCTTACTGCTTGTGTGCAGTTTTCTCAGTATTGCATTTATTATTATATTTTTTTTTTTTATTTCGGGCCCCAAAGAATGAACAATTACTACACTGTTCTGATAAAAAAAAATATCGTCGTCCCAGCATGTCGTGTTGTTGTGAGTCAAACGAGAAAACATGAGTTATTAGTAACACAAAAGCGGCAATACAGAAAGATACGTATCAGAACGACCTTGGAATGAACAGATAAAATTGTTTTAAATATAATTTTAATCTAAATATTGATTTAAAATACGGAATAGTGTATGTATAGAATGACTTAGCGAGTGAACACGTGGTTTCAACCAAACACTAAAAACGCGCTGTTTCATTTCTACCTCGAGTTGTCACAATTGTAACAAACGCCATATTGCGGCATGCAATTGATGGTGAAATACTTTGCTGCGCCTCGTTCAACAATGTCCTCTTCGGGTAATTAAATTGAATATTGGCATCCACTTCGGTAAGTATTTGTTCATTATTTCCCCGACTATTCGTATTTGCAATGCGCTGCCGTCGAGAATAGCGCCAAACAGTGCCCAAAACATGATATGATATGTCATGTCACATGTTTGTAAAAGTACATTTTTCCCCGTTCAGTTATTTATTCACAGATAAGCGATGATGCGAAGTAAAGTGACTGCCATGGCAGCATATCGCTGCTATATGGAATATTTCACTTTTTACCGACGAATCTCTGTGGAATGTATACATTCAAGTTGGGAAAAAAGTGTTCGATTTAAACAGGTGCACACTGAGTTGGCACAAGGTTCGGTTCACAGAGGTTTGAAACATAATTTAAACCTGTCCAGGTACAAGCGAAGAACAGAACGTATGGGTGCTAGGGCTACTCGTCGACAATTACGTCAGCAACGATAACGTCGAAGAAGCCATCGAAACCGAGAGAATAGTTGTGCTACAAAACAACAACGCCGTTGATGATGAACAAGCACGTAGTTTGGGAACATACCACAGAGGGCGCAGTTTATCAGAAGAGAATCTCTTGCAAGTCTGAGAAGTCTCGACTCGGAAAATGACGAATACTGTACTCAAATCTACGGCCGGAATTTCAAGTTAGCCAGGGTGACCGCGTACGGCGCTGTACATCAACGGCAGACTTGCTGGATCACATCGACGACGAAATTTTGAGTTACACGCCGGCGATTAACATGAGACACCGATCGCAAAGTTCAGTGTTGAGGCGAGAACTCCGTAACATACACGAGTCATTGGTGTGTAAAATATGTATGGATGAAAAAATGAACACAACGTTTTGTCCGTGTGGTCACATGGTATGCTGCAGTACGTGTGCCGGACAGTGTTCTGAATGTCCCGTATGTAGAATGAATATCGAGAGAATACAAACTGTGCATATGCAATAAACTTAGATACATTCATCCATTTTAGACGACACTATTAGGGTAAGGAATTTAATTTTGCTGGCAAGATTTCATTAGATGAAAATTAGATTAGTGGAGACGAGGATGAAATATTACTGCTCTAAAAAATTCACTGATGCGTAGGCCGGGAATCGAACCCGGGACTAAAGCTTGGAAGGCTTCAATGCTAACCACTACACCACCTACGCGACATACCTATTTCGGATCATATATAATGTCATATCAGAAATGTTAAAGACAATTCATTTCCACTTGGTGCCACGGCCGTCCCACCATGTCGTGCTTGTTGTGGGTCCCGTGCCACATATATCCTCTGCACCGCTGTTTAGTTTTAGCAAAGTTAATTTAATTATCCGAATATGTCCAAACTGCAAGTCCCTGTCACAGGCGCTCGGATCGTTTCCTGGATAATAAAAAATGACCTAAAGTGGGATCGGCATAGTTAGTCAGTCGCCGGTAAATTCCCCTACTACTCATATAACAAGTAACCTGTAGAATACTGTGTGGGTAATATTTTTTAAATTGATTTTTGTTGCATTTGCAGCAAATAGTTACCAAACAATGAGATATTTATAGGATTGAATATACCCCACAGCTGGCTTCACATGCATTGTTCATAGTTCATATGGTGCTTACACCAGGATTTAATTACAGCACCTAGGCGGTATGTGGTTACAGCTTAATGTTCCGAGTAATCGCAAGAAATTGACATGACAATAGAAATTCATGAAAGACTGGCACTCCCATGCAATTAACAGCGAGTGAAATTCCTAGGATTGAAACATATATTTTGAAGTCACTAGTGATGGCAACGAATAACTGCAAGTTGACATAAAGACG